CAAAAGATAGAAATAACTGACTTAAAACCATTTTTAGCTGCTGAAAATACTAGTGTTCTAATCGTTTTGGCCAACACTGTAGGTCAGATGTTATGGATGACACATGTACCTCTGTCATGCAGCGCCAGCAGCACTCTCTCGTACAGACACGCGCGGTACAGGTCTCCAGGGATGGGCTTCCCGGCCCAGCAGTCCAGCTCCAGTTTTTCCGGGTCGGGAGCGTGGGGATCCGGCTCAGCTAGGATGTAGCGGTAACCGTCTTTGTTGAAGGGGTGCTCGAGAGGATAACCATGAGGTGGCAGGCGCTGCGCTGAGAACAGCGGGTCACTAAAACGGAGTAAAGCACTATCAGATCTATATAGTAGTAGTATATTTTCATTTAATGCCATGTCAGCATCTTAGGCTATTTTATCAGATCTATATAACACAATCAGTTATAATTGATCTACATGTCTTTTGTTCTAAATTATTTATTTTGGCACAATTGTTCATTATTAGATCATGTTAATTCAAGTTGATTAAATAATATTAACAGATACATATTTTGATTATAATAATGTATTAGTAAATGTTGAAATTAACATTAAAGGTTTTAAATATTTTACAAATATTTTTAAATGTTTTAAATATTTCAAAAGTTGTTTAAATATTTTTTTTTAAAACAATTTAAAAATATATTTAAAATTCTACTAATTTAATACGTTTTTACATTCTAAAAAAATCTTAATTTGTATGTTAGCATGTAAAACTGAGTAAAACACAATCAGATCTCATTATACAAGTTAAAATTGAACTAAATGTCTTTTGTTCTAAATTACTTATTTTGGGGATTTAACTGAAGAAATCTTGGCCAAAAATTGGGTGAAAAACCCCAATTATATTATAAATATCTTTATATTAAAAAATTCAAATATTTTAAAAATACTTAAAAAGCTTTGTTTAAATATTTTAAAAATTGTAAAAATTAAAAAAAAAACAAAAAAAAACATTTATTTCTAAAAAATTGTTGGTTGGCTTGGTTTCAGTTCATGTTTTCAATCTATTTTTGATATGCATGAGGAGGATGATTAAAGCAACAGATCTTTTCATCCATTGTATGACGTACATTCAAGAATAACGGATCAAAACAGGAAAAAAAACATGTAGGATGGTGACAACTCGATATGTGGGCATCACACTCAAAAATGATTTCAAGTTTGCAGTGGATGATTTTGATTTTCAAAAAAACAAAGAAACAATAAAACATGCACAAATGAATCATTCACAATAAGATCAATAACATGCATTTACAAAATAGAGTGGATGTTAATTTCATAGTGACTTTAAGATGCGCTTGTTGTCGTACCTGCGTGTTCTCTTGGCCGTTCCAGCCGTGGCTCCGTCCTGTTGCTGCTGCTGTTTGCGTTTGGCTCCTCGGCCTTTACCTGTAGCAGCTGGAGGAAGCCCACCTGTGACAGAAAGAGATTCAAACCTCGGCCGGATTCATCCAACATCAACTTAAAGCCCAAACGCTTGCAGCAGAGCAGCCCGGGGATCGAGTTCAATCTAAAGGCCACAGCGTTTGACAAACACGATTAAGCTTCAAAACAATACGCCTCAGTCCACTCATATGTGACAAAAGCCATGACGGTTAGATTTCAGAGAGGGGGCGCAAGCACACAGAAACATGAATTAGTGCTGCAGCAAGTCAATCAAGAGTGCAAAGATCAATGCAAAGCGAGGGCAAGTTACAGGAGCACCAAACATCAGCCTTCCACACGTAAAACACTCCATATTCACCTGAAAAAGTCGATCCACCTGGAATACAACGCACAGCTTTAAAAGACACTCCCTCAGCAATGGGATCAAATATACAACTTTAATCATTTCTGGAGTTTAGAGGTGAGTTTTACCATTTAACCCTCCAGCACCCGTGATAGCCGTAATCTGCTTCTGGGTGTCATACGACGGTCCAATATTGGCCAGATCCTGAGGAAAACCAAACACAGAACATGCCATAACAAACGTTTTAAGATAAGTACAATGAAAAACTGGGTACGTTCATAATTGCAAAATACACTGTAAAAAATGCTTTTATGGAGTTGTAAATAAAGCATTACTGGAGTACATTTTACAAGAAAATCTTTGTATTTCAAGATTTCATGTTTAATTGAATGGGTTGCTTGCCATTTTTTGTGATTATTTGTGAAATTTACAAGCAGTTTCTGAGTGAAAATTGTTTTACCACCAATTTTTTTTTCATACATTTTCAGTATGTGTAAAATATACAAATGACCTATGAATTTTTGCAGTACACAACCAGAGCACAAGGTGCAGAACTCTGTATCCCACAATGCATCCCGTTGATTCATTATTTGACATGGCCTTCCGAGACTGGATTAAAATGCTAAATAACTGTTCATTGCATTAAACCTGCAACATACCAATGGCATTCTACTGTTAACTGCTGCCTACTGCACACTATTTCATATTTTATTCTAAAAATATACAGTATAAACCCCACATTATGCTAATATTTTATTCCAATATTAACCACTAGGATTATACAAAAAAAAAAGTACTATCGTACCAGTGTTATTTTAGTATTATTATTATTATACATGAAAGTATTTATTCATATTTTAAATGAGATTTTATTTTTATATTTTCAGTTTAAGTTTTAGTAATTCTGTTATGTGTTTTTATCATTTTATTGACTTTTATTTTTCCAAATATTTATATATATATATATATATATATCTTTATTTTAATTTTAGTTTTACTAATTTTCATACTTCAACAGTTACAATTTTGTTTTAATTAGAATTTTTTTTGTTTGAAATGTTTTTATTAGTATCCATTTACAATAACAACATGTACCATAATACTGTAATTTAATTATTACAGTATACTGCGCGACAATGCAAAATTCACCCACTACATGACAATGTAATATCAACTCAGCATCTCCATTTTGACTAATTACATGATCAGACACCTAACAGTTAAGACAATAAATTGCAAAAAAATTTTTTTACATATACAATAACAATGCTATTTGCAAAAATTATCATTGCTTGTCAAACATTTTAGCAATATGCAAAAAAATAAAAGTTAGCTGGTTGGTGTTTGAATTTCAGCTTCCTTGGCTATTTTCAAGTTGAGTAACAAGTTTAAAGAGCGATTTAAAAACCTATTTAAAATGTATTTTAAATAAAACTCTAAAATAGATTCAGAGTCGATGACTTCATTTCTTTTGAGAGTTTTTGCGGAGTAATTTAACTTCCTAATTGACCCTAAAAAGCACAATTGAATAAAATATGTTTAAGAGATACTAGACTCTGGCATGAAGAGCATGTCAGATTTTCATGATATTAAGAACTTGTGTGTGATTCTGAAGTGTCCTGCACCTGATCAAGCAAGCCAAACTTGGGATAGTCCTCTTCAGAGTCTTTACTGCCGGGGTCTGGATGTTCTTTCACCAGGAAAACATCACGCTCTTTACTCTGAGTCCAAACAACACAAGTCAAGCCTTTATAAAGCTCTATAAAACACCTTCCAGACACAAAGGAAAAGAGGTTGGGAATCAAGTGATTTCAAATGACTCACCATAGTCTTGACGATATTATTTGGCCATGTGAGTTTGCCGGGCCTCTGGCGGGTCGTCATGCACTCCCAGTATTTGTCAATGAAAGGTATGATGTCCTTCACAAGAGAACAAATAGCACTGAAACCACACATTAAACACATGGCACTGCATTCACTTAACTACAGCGGAAAGCGTACCTTATCTTTAGAGAACATTGTTTTGGGATGCTCCTCTTGAGTTCTGGACCTCCATGTCAGATTTGCCAAAGCAGTGAGACACATCTCCTTCAGATCTGTGGATAAAACCATTAAACAATGAAGACGATGGGGGGAAAAAAAATCGATGTGCTGAATGCAATGCAGATACCGGAGCTACACAATTTCAATAAAACCGAAATCGTTTAGTGCAAATATCAATCTTTTTAAAGTAATATTACTTTTGTTTTTATTTAGTAATTTTTATATTTGATTAATTAAAATAATTATAATATTTATTATTATTATTATAATCAATAATAATAATAAAAGTGTGATGTTTATGATTTGAAAATGAAGAAATTAAGACCTATATATAAATATTAGTATTGTAACAGTTGTAAACTAAAATTATTATATTTTTTAATTTGCAAAAGTAATATTTTTTGTTTTTATTTAGCAATTTTTATCATTAAGATAAGCAATTATCACAGTAATAATAAAGTTTGATAGTTTAACATTTGAAAATTAAGAAATTAAGACATATATTAGTATCGTAACAGTTGTAATGTAAACTAAAATAATTGCAAAATAAATATTTCCTTTGTTTTTATTTAGTAATTCTCATAATCAATTAACGTACATAATTACAACATTAATAATAATAATAATCGTATTGTTATTATAAAAAAAAATTTGATTGGTTTCATGTTTGAAAATGAAAGAAATTAAGACAGATTTGAATTTAAGTATTTTAATTTTACATTTGTAATGTAAACTAAAATTATTCTCATTATTATGTAATTTCTTATTATAAAATAACATTTGTTTTTATTTAGTAATTTCCATTAATTATTACAATAATATTTAATAAAAACAACAAGTAGTAATTATATTAATTACAACAATAATAATATTAATACTAATTAGGATCAGGGTAAATAATAATAATAATAATATCAAAGCCATACTGATATACATCACAAAATTTTGGCCAAAACTGCACAGCCTTACTAACAAGCACAACAAAATTTTCTTTTTGAAATGCCATTTTAAATCACAATCTTTATCCAAAAAACTCAATTAGATTTTTTTTCTCCAAATGGTGCAGCTCAAGTACATACTGCATAACAACACCTACGTAACAATTCAAACAGCAGCATGCAAAAGTTTTCACTAACTCAGCAAGTCAAACTGATCCACTCACTTGCTTGTTTCCTCAAAAAGTATGTGTTTCCGCTGTGGTGACACACATTGCAGTGAAACACATAATTGGTCACGAACGGCAGGCAATTTCTGCAGGAAAGAACAAACCGACAGTGTAAGAACATGCACGCGAGACACCCGTCCATCTGCGTCAGGACACAAACGTACACCGTGTCGATGCTGAACGTGTCCGCCGTAAACCACTTCATGCACAGCGCACACTGCAGCTCCACGTCCCCCAGCTGACGGCCGTTCTCATCGTCTCCAGACCCCGTCTGAGCATCCGCCGCCTCCGAACTGTCACCCGCCGTGTCCTGACGACACACACAGACACAATGTTACGCTATACTGAAAGTCAATACAAAACAGCACATTCTCAAGTCATCTGACTTCTGTAATGTGACATATTTCCAAGTGATCCAAGACATTCAAAAAGAAACAAGATATTAGGACATTCAAAATTATGCAAAAAACTGCTGCTGCTGGGGTGTAAAAATCCATAAATCGGTGCTCTTTTCTTTTGTATCATCAAAATACTCATAAATCCAAGGCACTCGAGTAGTGTGAAAAAATGACAAAGCCTTTATTCACATGGCTGTAAATGTAAAAACAACACATTTGTGCACAGACGTGTTGCGGCTAACTCGCCTTCATCAGGGTATGAATAAAGCCTTTTTAATTTTTTCACACTACTCGAGTGCCTTGGATTTATGAGTATTTTGAAAATATTAGGACTTTCTATCCACAAAATGTTATACTTATGTATAGGGAATGGATTTTGATAAAGGATTAAGCTGAAGCAGTATTTTAACTAAAAATAATTGTTAACTAAAAATAAAACGATTTAATTAATTGAAATAGTGATTAAACAAAAAATATAAATATTAGATGAAAAACAAACGTAAAAAACAAGAAATGTTGCAAAAATGACAAATGTTGCTTTGACAACTAATCAAAATAAATGTGTTTAAGTTGAAGTAATACAATTACTAAAATTACAATTTAAATAAAACTTGTTATACACAAACATAAAAAAAAACAAAAAATAATTACATAACAAAAAAGTAAATGAAAAGTAAAAAAAGGCTAATTCAAAATATTAATATACTACTTAAAGAAAACTAAAAAATTAAAACTAAAGGCTAATTTAAATGATATAAAATTATATTTAAATATACCTGTATAATAAATTATTATAGTAACAACATATTAAATCATTATATTTTTTTATAGAATAATAATATAATCATTATATAACATATATATAAGATAAATCCACTTATAAATCATTCACAATAAGAGCAGAAATGTTTGTTAATAAAGTAAATCAGATGGTCTGATTTTATGTTGCATATGATTCATCATGTGTAAAAGGTCATACCATAGTCTCTTTTCCACTGGACGACTCAGTCTCCATGTTTGTGGTCAGATCTAATGAAACGAAACTCATACTCAGAGTAACGATTTTTTTTTTGGCAAGGACCTTTACGGTAAATAAGGTAAAATCATGATAAAATACATTAAACAATCTCAGTATGTTCAGTATGTAAACATCAAATGAATAGAATTGCACATCACAGCGAAACAAAACAATCAAGCAGCACATAAATAAGAAAGAGATCGTGCAAACCCAGCACTTCATTCTCACACTTGACTGCTTGTGGCGTTGTGTTTATGTGCTGAACAGCGCTATTAATATCACAGCTGTGCGATGTAGATCTGATCACGTCTCTAATTACTTAATATCAGTGTTTTCATTGATTAAAGCATGTTATTATTGATTCTCACCCTTCTGCTGTGTCTCTCTCAGGCACAGATCCCGCTTCTGCCGCCATCTTTGGAATAACGACAACAGTTGAAATCTCGCGATAACACGGCGGCTTCATCGCGGCCAAACTGTCCGTGATTCACGCAGTGCTCAGACACACACTGACACCTGCAGGACAACTGTGCGTGTGTGCGTGCGTGTTTGTTTATTTATTTATTTAGTCATCCATCCTTAAGTTTAATTTCCTTACGTTTTTATTATTTTGTTAAGCTACGTTTTGTAGTTTAAATAATAAAAAAAAAAACTATTTGTTTTACAAGTGTTAAGAAGAGCATGCTTGTTAAGAAGGGTTATGCATAGGATTGATTATGAAATTGTTAGGGACATAATAGAAGACAACCTTTTCTTTGGATTGTTTGATTGCTCAAAAGAGAACATAGGAAAATATAATTTAATTTGTGTTTCATGCTAGTTAAATTTCACATAGGCCTACACAAATGAACATTTACTGGCTCTAAACCTCTCTTTTTTTATTTAGAGTTGATCAGGACAAGTACGTGGAAACTATCCAAAGCTCTGTTAATCCTAAAGCAATGAGAACTGTATCTTTATAATCATCTTTTGTGTGCTCTTAAGGTGTAAATTTATTACATTTTTTTGTTAACCTGGCAACACATCCCTTTTGAAAAGAAACCATGGTTTAAAAAAAACACACCAAACCATGGTAACCACAAATTAACCATAGTCTTTTACCATGGTATTTGGAGTAAAACTGTGGTTATACAAGTATACATAATAAAACCATGGTTTTCTCTTTTAACTGTAATGCCTTAATGGTTTGATGTTTTTTTTAAGTCAACTTTTAAGTCAATGTTTTTTTTACGCCCTCCGAAGTTTCGATCTAATCAAATGATTCACGATCCAATCATTTAATGATTCGCCGCACACTCCGAAGTTCAGATCTGAATCCAATGATTCGCGATTCAATCATTTAACGATTCGCGAACCCGCTCCGAAGTTCCAATCTGAATCACATGATTCGCGATTCAATCATTTAACAGTTCGTGAACCCGCTCCGAAGTTCCAATCTGAATCACATGATTCACGATTCAATCATTTAACGATTCGCGATACACGCTCCGAAGTTCCAATCTGAATCAAAAGATTCACAAACCCGCTCCGAAGTTCGTCTGATCTAAATTAAATGATTTGCGATCCGAAGTTCCGATATGAATCAAAAAATTTGTGAACCTGCTCCAAAGTTCCGATCTAAACCAAATGATTTGCAATCCACGCTCCACAGTCCCGATCTGAATAATGATTCGCAAACCATAATTTCAGATCAGGACTTTGGAGCACATATCGTGAATCATTCAATTCGCGAAATGATTCGTGAACCCGCTCCGAAGTTCCAATCTGAATCACATGATTCACGAACCCTGCACATGTTAAATGAACATTTTTGAAATAGTTTTCTTGCGTAATTACTTTAACTTCTCAGGTAATATCAATGGGGTGACCTATTTCAGATGCGGTCGAAATTACAACAACAATGGTTAGGCCTACATACACATTTATTTTAAATGTTTGATCAAAATTATTGCTAGAGACAATTTAGCAGTCGCTGGATATTTTAGGGACATGTCCCCAAAGTCCCAACTAAATCCTACGCTATTGAGTGTTACAATAGCCTGAATTGTAGAAAACAGTATAGTATAGTATAGTATAGTATAGTAGGCTATTCCAATAGATTTTTATTTGATTTTTTTCTATAGTATAGTAGAGATATTTAATGTTTTATCTAAGAATGCTGTTTTTCTTTAACCATGAGTTGTTTGTTATCACCAATAATTTCACTGATAATTTGTCTTACGCAAAACCATCACTGCAGCAGCCTTCAACCATTTCAGATTTGTTTGTTTGTTTACTGTATAGGCAAACCTATTTTTTTTATTATTATTAGTAAACTAAAATGATTAGTGAAATATATTTTAAAAAAGAAAAATAGCCTTTTTTAACCAATAAAAAAACATATAAATACTAACTATACTATCCTATTCTCAAAGTGTGTTGTAACACTTTATTTAACAAAACCATTACTTTGAGAGGTATTTTTGATTTCTTTCTTTATTCATTCATTCATTCATTTTATTAAAACGACTTAATTGCATTTTTAACACAATTTTCTCTCACTGTAATGCATCACTGCAGCAGTCTTAAAAAATGAGATTATTTGTCTTATTGATTTATTTGTGTTTGTAGTAAACGGCTCAGGAGTGTTTACAGCAGAACTGTGAGGTTTCTTCCTGTAAGGACAGATGCTTGAACGACATGCAAACAAACTCTTCCCACAAATCACAGTGTCTCTTTCTCTCAGTGCACCGTGGACATCAAATCCATCGTAAACCTGTAAAACACGCTTTAAACATCCATTACCACTAAAGCGCCCCTTTGTTTGTGTGAAAGTGCAGGACAATGATGTGCTGGGCTGTTGTTAGGCCTGCTGATGGAATGGAAAGAGGATTGTTCAGATACATGTCGTGTTTTATTGTTGGCCATCTGTGAGGTACAGACACGACGACCCTTACTCTCAATAAACACTTCAAAAATTACAAAGTGCAAGCACAAAGTATAGCATCAAGGACAAAGTTGTATAACAAAGATGACCGAATGTTTAAGATCGTTTTCAGATGGAATAAATATTTCCTAACCTGCACATGACATTATGCCAAGTCTTTAATACAGAAATCCCTAGAACAGATTTTAATTTAAAATATATTCAATTTAATTTTTTCATTTTTAAATAAAAGTTAAATATTATGTAATATAAATATATAATTAAATATTTTATGAAATAAATAGACAAGTGTCTTAAATGTTTTTCAATTGTTACTAAATTGAAAAGCATAGATAGAACGATAGATAGAACGATAGATAGATTACATACACACATTTTATATTATTTTTTAAATTTGTATATATTTAATTTGAATATATACTAAATAATATAATAAAAATAAGTAATGTAACAAATATATAATTAAATATTTTATTAAATAAATAGTAATAGTAATAAATATTATAATATATTATATTATATTATATTAGTTAACTTAAACATGCAATTCCAGAGACATCAGTACTTTTCTTCCGGAAGGCTATGATTAATTAATTGATTAATTAGCATCACAGTAGCTTTTCATTTAACAGCAAATCATAACAAAATGTTTAAAAAAACAGATTATGAAACGTTCAAGATTATGTATCCAACAGGATAAAATCCACATATTTGAGCATTTCAAGCTCATTTCGAGCCTTTTTTGAAATAATAGGCCTATTAAAATCCACTTTGGTGACCCATGCGGTGGTCAATCATTTATATGAGTTCAACTTCAAAAGAGTGTAAGACAGAAGCAGTGCAGGTTAATAAGGTTAATGTGTTTTGAGCAGCAGCGCTGGAGCTCTTCTGCTGTGTGATGGAGCTGAAGGCCCCTCGCTGATACTCCTCCTCATCCTCACCGCCGGGACAAAGGCACAGGTCAGGCAGGGTCACAGACACGGGTGACATCTGCTAATTGTCCCGGTGGGCCGGCGAAGCCTCGAGCAGTGAATACCAGCAGTATAGATGCTGCTGACGGCTGGCAGCTGCCGCCGAGGGCCACCTCTGGAGCCTTCAGCCTTTATTTACAGCATCATAAGGCCTTTGTCTGGAGGCTCCTACTGAGCATACACTCATCCCGCCGGAGACCAGCACACTTTCTGCTGCTTTAGATCCATTAAAACATTAAATTACCCCCAAAAAACCTTATTTGCATGCATAAGAGGTTAATATGGCTAATAAAACAAATACACATAACTTTACACAAAGTCTAAAGCATTCCTAAAATGTTTTTAAATGAGAGAATCCATGCATTTTGCATTCAGTTATATTGTATTGAAATGCTTAACTGTTGCTCAGTTTTGTGCAGAGCAGATGCACAGAGTCTGTCTGTCTATTTCTATCAGTTTTATCTTTGGTTTGAATAAAAAACTAATATTTTATTATTTAAAAAAATATATTTTAACACAAATATTATGTCAATTAAAACAAATACACATAAATATACACAAAATGATACAAATATTTTTCTATATATATAAAGCTTTTCTAAAGTGCTTTATAAATTAGAAAATACATGTATTTTGCATTCAGTTGTATTGTATTGTTTAAATGTTGCTCAGTTGTAGAGGAGCTAAATGCATATTTTCTTTTCAAAAAAAAACAAAACAATTTGTGTATTTGATTTTTGTATCTGTATTTAATTTTTTTAATTATTTTAAAAATAAATGTATTTTAAATTATTGTATTAAATGATAAAATATGATATAGCAATTAAAACAAATACACATGAATACACAAAATGATTAAAATATATATACAAAACGTAACGCATACGTAAAGGTATAGATGGTGAAAATACAATTATGTTGTATTGAAATATTTAACTGTTGCTCAGTTTTGTCCAGAGCATCAAAATGCACAATTTCTTTTTTAAGAAAAATGTGTCTGATATGTATTTATATCTGTTGGTTTTGATATTCAATTATAAAAGTATATATTAATACATTACATTCAAATGCATTCCTTTTTTATTCAGTCACTTGAATTATTGAATCTAAATAATAAAATATTTATTTCCTAACATGCAAATGATGTTCCACATCTTTAATGCAGTAATCACAGGCTGAATTGGGACATAGGACATGTCAAATTTTATTACAGTGTGTGTGTGTGTGTATATATATACAGTATATATATATATATACACACGCACATATACACAGTATTTACATTTTATTTATATATACACATTTTTATTTATTTAAAACATTCTTTTACATGCTATGCCAGAATAGTAACTTTAACAGGCTATTCCGGAGACCTCAGTACTTTTCTTCTGGAAACATCTTCTTTAGTCGATTAATTAGCATCACAACAGCTTCTCACGCGCTCGACCACCGTAAAATCACACAATTGCAAATAACTACAAGCTCTGGTACAAAACACTACACGGCTCTTCAGAAAAGGGCACATTTTAACCAGATGCAGGGCAATAAATGGCAAAGGAAGCGTGTCGCCCACTGAGACACATTCAGATGTTAAAGCGTGTAAAGGAGGAGTTTGAGGGCTTGGTTTAAACTCGCTGAGATCCTTTAACATGTTGATTTTACACGCGTCTGTCTGAGCTGAGCTGTAGATATAAGCGACCTGAGGAGATGGAGATGCTCAGATATCACAGGACTCACTTACTTGCTGCTCTTGAAGCGACTGTCAGGATGCATGAAGAAACTGGCAATTCACCAGTGCTGGGAAAAACCTCTTTTTCCATCGCAGACATTCTGGATCCCTCCAAATTTCCCGGGAAACATCAGGAGACGCAGAGAGACATCAGGACGCGGGAAATCTCAAGTGAGTCTCAGCCGTTCATGTGTTTCAAAAAGTTAAGCAGCACATTAGTGTTGGTTCGTTGGTGCAACATATTTCACTGTAAGTTATGAAACTAAAACATCTTTTTGAAAGTTAGCCATGCGTACAGCATCAAAAATATCAATTTTGTAATTTGCGAATGAAAAATACTACAGAAGAGGGCGCAGTCTGATCACTTTGTCTTTTTAGAGATCGGTCATAAAGGGAAAAAAATCTAAACAAAACTTATGCTATGTAAACTTTTAAACCGTGTTTTTAATGAAAAAAAAAATCTAAAGTTCGATTATAAATCAGAATGCGG